GTCAGTTCAGATAACTACTGACCCGTAGTTTCAGACTTCATTTTCACGAAACTATCTTCAGATACTTGAATGCTTATCGATGGTAATTCGAAAACTTGTAAATAAGAATCAATTGCAAATTTCAGTTTTGCATTTTGCTTGAATTATTTTATTTCTCTGTAGCTTGTTCAAGAGCGTTATCAGAAGTGTAATTTTATTTGGATACACCAATGGTTGAAAAAAATTTTCTTCTTGAGGAATTTATAAAGCGTTTCCAAGAATGTATGTTGTTCCTCCGTCAAATTGTTTTCACAGCCGTAAAGCAAGTACGAAAAGATATAAAGTATATTATCACGGAATGTCACTGATAGTTTTAAATTCTCTATTACTGCATTCTTTTTAGTTTTGTGATTTGAAACATTTTGATCACTTGATAGTTGATACTCATAGTTATAGCTATATTATCCGAACGTTGGATTCAATGGTCTTCTCTTCGTACGACGCTAAAGTCCGAAAGAGAACGTAGAATATCATTACTTGGTTTGTGCCTTCAATCAAAAATATCTTTTATCGTTATACTAAATTACGATATAGATGATTATATTATAATAACAGAAATAGATGATTATATTATAATAAATAAAATTCATGTGTACAATTTTGTTATTATCCCATTTTAAGATTATTATATAATTTTGAAAGAAATTTATGCAATATTTTCACTCACTTCTTTTTTTAATTTTATACAGTATTTGTCCTGAAAATAAAAGAAGTCAAATTATTACTACACATTTTACCTAATAAAATATTAATAAAATACTAATAAAATATAATACATAATTCGTAAATATATATATTTCTAAAATTTAACAAATTTTAACAATTTTGTCTACTTTAGTTATTTATACAGATTATCGAAATTATAATATATTCGTATCTAAAAAATAATCGTTATATTGTTTCTAGTATTATAATATAATAGTAGTATAATATTTTTGTTTAAATGTTAAAAATCTATGTCGATATAAACTTACTGCTGAAAATGCACGAATGCTGTTCCAGTTATGACGACAAAAATAATAGTTATTACATTGTTCACTATCATTTTGTAAAAAATGATGGCAAATGATTTTCAACAGTAAGTTTATATCGACATAGATTTTTAACATTTCAACAAAAATATTATACTATTATATTATAATACTAGAAACAATATAATGATTATTTTTTAGATACGAATATATTATAATTTCGATAATCTGTATAAATAACTAAAGTAGACAAAATTGTTAAAATTTGTTAAATTTTAGAAACGAATTATGTATTATATTTTATTAGTATTTTATTAATATTTTATTAGGTAAAATGTGTAGTAATAATTTGACTTCTTTTATTTTCAGGCCAAATGGAATTTTATAAAATATTCGATTGTTGTTTGTACGTGTAAAACGTTTCACATTACACAATATTTCGTTAGATTTTAAAATCACTGCGCATCACGAAGACTGAGATAAGTTTTAACGAGGGCGGTGCCTTTATATGGAACAATCGAATTGACATGGTTAGAATTATGTAGGTGTGTACGCGACCGCCGGCTGAGAATGAGTAACTCAGCAGGCGCATGTTATTGTTAACTGATAATTAAATTTTACTGTTCTATACGTCGGTATTCCCCTCCCACTAGTTCCTTCGATTTGGTCTGAGCTGTTGCATCGAGTGAGATGAGATACGGTTATTTGATTTATTATTCTTGATACCATCTTTAAACCTAGATATTATATTACTTTTATATTATGCTACTGAATTTCTATCACTGAATTTCTATCGCAGAATTTAATCCTCGGATTGTCATTCGATTTGGTTGTAACAAAATATAAGCTTTTCAAAAATTAGATCGGAATACATCGTGACAGATGGTATTTAATTATTAAACAACACACGATTAGAAGCCGCATATTTTTTATCCGCAAATCATACGTCGACTCTGATGTTGTGTTACATATAAAAAAATGTATCAATTCAAAGTTCGATCTTTCAATAGATTAAAAATTAATCACTGTATGATTGCATGAGAAACAATATAAATATATCATGTGGGGAAATATATACAATATAAATATGAATGCTGGAAAAATATAAAAACATTGAATCAGCTTTGTTTGAAAAATTCGCTCATAAAAAAAATCAGGCTTTGCGGCATTGTCATTGAATCAAAATTTCGTTTCATTGTTATTTCACGGATTGTTTTCAATATCTTTTCGAAGCGATTTCTTCCTCGTGCTTTGATTCTATGCGAGAGCTGCCGTACTAAAAATTTTTTTGATTAAAAATAATAAAAATGATTTTAAGACCAGAGAGAACTAGTTTTTATATCATCCTTTGAGCAAATTTCTCTTAGATATTTACGCGTACACACATGAACATTTGCGTAAATTAATTTTTTAATGTAATATTACATAAAGTTCTTATTATCGCAATAGTTGATTAGCTGGTATATCCAAATTAATAATCCTTATAGAAGTTATTGTAATCAAAAAAACGTATAAGGTAACGCAAACAAACACTTATATAATATAAATGCAACATTTTAATGTACGACACCTTATAGTCTTATTTACAAGTTCCAAGTCATTTCATATCTTTTCTATAGACACAGACATACAGTTTGAAACGAGATACTCTGGTAACTATACACGCGACAAAGCTCACTGCTGTTCTCCTCTGATTGAGCGCGGTATATTTTTACTCGACTGGCCAATAAAACCGAAGCTGACAATCTACTATGTCCCCTAACAAATGACAACAGATAACGTGTGACCGAAAGGGTCACACCGTCGTGAACGATAAGGTGGCAGGACAATGACGAATAGGCTTTCGCTGGATGGTTCGCGGAGTTTCCGTGGCTGCAATTCCATCGACGATGCAGCCGGCTGCCACTATCATATACGTACCAGGGGCAATTCCGATAGGTGATCCATTATCTTAAGCGGCATCGAGCAATCGATTCGCGCCGCATCTCGGCCGAGCGCTTTTTCAGGTCCCGCCGGACTTTCGCGCACTGTAACGGCTCTCTTCCATTCTCTTTCTATTGCCGTCCCTTTTATTCTCGTGTATACGTAATTTTTTTGGATTGACTTGCGAAACGCGCGCACATACAACTGCATATTGCACTTCTATGTTGTTTCCATCGCTCGTCCGTAAGGTCGACCTGTCGGGATTGGGATTGAACGATGCGCAAATACGGCAGCTCCGCGAGAGAGCTAAAAGCTCACGCGTTTTTGGAAAGGTATCGTTTTTCTTGCATTTCCACGGAAGAATGAGCTTCTATTTATTCTGCGGAGATTAATGATGCTGTTTGTCGGCGATAAAATAGCTCCACAATACTTAACGTATTATTCTGTTTGGAAAATAAGGATCGTGTATAATCAGGATTGTATGTAAAATGTAGAGTTTCAAAGCTACTGCTGGTGCTGCTGCTGGTGCTGCTGTTCTGCTTTCGCAAAAACTTTCGCGTCATGATAGTAAAATTAATCGATGTAAACAACTTAGAACATACGAACGTTAATATTTTATCAAAAGTGTTTGGTGATACATGCGCACATTATGTTGACATACAAGTAACATTTTTTACTTTTATATAATAAAAGATATTTTATGAGAAAAATACTTGGAAAATATATGATGTCTTATGACTCTGAAATGGTACACCTCTTTTAGCAAAATCGCATTTTACTAAAAGATATGAATGGATATTTATTATCGCACACACATACACACATGTGATACACTAAATGTACTATAATATATGTGTATATTTTCATGAGAGTCAATATTTTTTATGACAGAAAGTGCATCATCCGTTTTAATAATTTGTTTTGTGAGAAATTTTCAATCAGCAGTATCATAAAAAATTTTATGACAAAATAACTGAGATAATTCTAGATGTCAACAATATTGGCATTCCTCTCTGACAATATATTGTATAAATAACGCTATTTACTCTTACAAACTTGTCAAGATGTAATGATTAACTGTCATCAGATAAATTTTACATTATAAATCAGCAACAGGAAAAATAGTCTTTTAATGTAGCTTGTCTCTCTTCCTGCATCGCAGCGATACGGGTCAAAATTTATTAAAGCTTCGTATCTTGATCAAATAACGCTTTTGATTGTTTTGCGAAATTGAAGAAAAACTCTAGTTAGGTTTTTTTTACCGTAGATATTTTTATTCATCCCTGGATAGCAACCCGATTGGACGCTTCTGCCGTACTATAAATTCTGCTGCTCGATTGCGAGAATCGCTTTTGGAGATTACGATTGATCGACGTTTGCCGAAACTTAAGCTTTTACGATACCGAAGAAATTCTACAAATTTTTACAAACGCTTTATGTTCCAACTTTCTGAACGTTGACCTGGATATTGATTTTGTAAAACTTAATCAATTTTGATCCGGGATATGAATTATAATAAGAAAACTTGTGCCACAGAATTACTTTTGAGGAAAATCACTGAAACGATAATAAATTTGATTTTTTTATTCAAGATTTTAAATCCGCTAACAGAAATAATCACTGAAAGGGGAATATTTTCCATATTATATGTAAGTTCAACTTAGGCGCTTATTCATTACACATATACATATCATACATATGTGCACACGTGTCTGTGGCCGCGTCTTTGTGTTGTGCACACATTTACACAAATCAATTTACTCATGATCCCACATTACACAAAGTTCTTATTACCGCAGCGGTTAATTAGCGTGAGTAAACCACGCGGATATTATCCTTTAAGTATCCAGCAAGCTAACATTGCGAGAAATTAACTACTGCGGGGTTTATCGCTGTTCTTTTCCATTGTAATATTGCTATGGTATCGTATACTAGAAAACTTTCTTCATAAAAGGAATTAAATACCGCTGCAAATGACCATTGCAATGTACTTCCTGTACCGATTATATCTTATCAATTTCGAGCATCTTAATAAACTTAAATTTCTTTTCTATTCTGTGTTCACAGGTTGCGGAAGTATCGCGCCGAAATCTACTTGGGGCAAAGTTGCTACAATGGGTTACGCCAGTCTTGGGATACCCTTGACCTTGGTTTACCTATCTAGTGCGGGAGGTCTCTTGTCGAGATGCGCCAGGGGCGTTTTTACACGAGCTCTTTGTTGCTGCCTCTGCTCGAATTGCGGCTATTGTTGTTATGACGAGAGGCGGATGCAGGTTAGCGATGGCATACTTCGTTGAAAATTTTTCATCGTTAGATGATAAAAAATTTAATCGCGGACGTCAGTGATACGGTCTTCCTCCCTTTGGATAAACTGGATATACGTGATATGGGAAATGCATATGTCGCACCGACTCGACACATGCATCTCCTATGTCGGCAGGATACGCGTGTCCTGTTGACGATCGATAAGGATTAATCGCTGCCGTACCATTGATTGGTTATTGTTAGAGCGCTATTCAAATAAAATTGGATCAGCCTTCGAAATCCCCAGCACTCGAAACACAAGAGTGTAAACGATGTTGGCGTTCACTCGAAAGTGTTGCGACGCAACACGAATGTAATTGGTACACATGTAGCATGGTCATTCACGTGTGTTGACATGCAGATATGAACGGATTTTCCATTTTCGGGTATTTTCTCGTATCGGATGAGAAAGAAGCGACAGCAGGAGGAACTGGCGCAGCAGCAGCAGCAACAGTTACAGCTGCAGGAGCCCTTTTACGTTCGCGCGAATGCATCAACGTTCACTAGCACCGTGGAAATTAAAGCCAGCCCGAAAGACGAAGTTTCGAGTCTAGGCTCCGGCGATAGACCAAACGTTACCATACTCGCACCAATCAGTATCTGCCTCGGCGCGATGTTGTGTTACATCATTGCCGGAGCATTCACTCTGCATAAATTGGACGGTTGGTCATTCATAGGTAAGTTCCGCTCAGAAAAAAAAACTTCATAAATTGTGTTCAGTGTTGCGTTACCTATATCAACTTTCAGTTGTTTTTTCAGTTGAATTTCAGTAGTTTTGCAATATAAATGTATATTTGATGAGCCTCAAAGCGTTTAAAAAAAAAAATTAACATGATCGTTTTTCTGTATCCGTATCAGATTGGCATAAATTCTGCAACGTATTACATACAGTGCAGTATATGTAAACATGATATATGTACATATATATGTATATAAAGTTTATACTCTCTAAAAGCTAACGGCTAGCGCTTCTTCCACATTTAGATGCAAGCTATTTCTGCTTCATGAGCCTGAGCACTATCGGCTTCGGCGACATGGTACCCGGTTCTTATCCTCGCCACACCCTCGCCGACTCGAGAAACGTGACAGTCTGGTTTTGCTCCTGCTATATAATGTCAGGAATGGCCCTGACGGCGATGTGCTTCAACATCCTCCACGACGAAATTGTCCATCGGCTGAGTCACCAAACAGACAAGCCGGAGCCAGTGAAGCCGAGCTCGTCCGTAGACGAGCTGTCGACGGATCCGTTCGCTCTGACCTCGTGACAATTTCCGTCGGGCAATCTGTGCCACAGGAACGGCACCGACGAGAACAATATATGTGGCACGGAACCACCCACCAATATATTCGCGCACGAGAATGAGATCAACATCCTAAAAGACACCTTCAATCAGGTAGACGTTACTAGAGATTGCAAACCGATCCTGAAGCTTGAAGATCATGTCCCACCGATTTCTGCTGTCTATATGTTACCCAAGGTCGACGAAGAGGCCGAGGAAAATACGGAAATGTGAAACTTAGACGCAGATTTCCGGAGAACGACAGTCTGGCGGCCAGGTTCAATCAATTGGAGATTACCTAGCAGTGTTTTTATGACTCGTAATCCAGATGGATAGGTATATATAACATGTTATATATGCTAAAATCGTGTTGTCAGATCGTGACAAAAAGACGTTTTTGTTGAATCTATTATTAACGTTGAATTCAATGGTTAAGACACACTAATGACTTTAATAAAGTCATGAAAGTAATGGTGCTCAAAATTTATATTTTTGTTTTTTTTATTAGAAGTATAAATATAGTGTTATAAAATTTTCCAAACATATGAATTTTTTAAATTTAATTATCATATACTTTCGTTGCTGAAGTTGTCTACTAATATCTTTCTTTTATGATGTGATAAACAATTGTATATAATGTTTTTACACTATCTTAATATATTATACTGTGTGTTTTACATGTCTAAATTCAACGATTAATGATAGAATCATTAATACGTTTCCATTAGTGATAATACTAACGAGTATGCAGAGCGTTTATCTGGAACACATTCGAAAAATTAAAAAATGATAAATGCTTAAACCGTTGATGCAAGTAGGACATCCTCCTTGAAATCAATACAAAATAGATTTCATTTTCACTTATATATAATAAGAATAATAAATTGATATAAAAATAGAAATTCAATAATTTATAATAATTTTTTTTATTCCAATTATTTTATTATTATTATTTCCTTCATCTCGAAACTTATATCACGATCATAATTGAAACAAAATAGTAATAGCGTGATTTAATATTGAAATTTTCTACTTCTATATAAGATTTTAATTTTTAAAGTAATATCTTTATAATTATGTATCATGTTTTTAATACAGTATCTTACATAAGTTTTAAGTAATAGGCAACCGAGATAGGCAAAGGTTGTAGAATTTCAAATGTAGAAATTCAAATGTAGAAATTTCTTGAACTTTCATTAGACATTGCTATGTTAATTTTGAAGTGTCTTTAATAAATATTTGCTAGATATTCCTAAAATATGAAGTTACCACTTTCACAAAAGGATGTACCAAAAAGATAAAATGCAAATGCAATGGTATTGCCAAAGTTTACTTTATGCTGATTTTATGCTAAGGACACAAATTAAAGATACGTAACGTTTCAAGATACAGACGTGCTGTTTAAAATTGCTGCTCGTAAGTGCAGTCACTTTGCGTCGTGTAGTTTAAAGTAATACGGATTAATTAAAGAAATCACGAAGAGTACAAAATTCCACAGGAATTGAAGCTATGAGTAATTAACCATTACGACTCAAACATTTGCGTACCGACATTAATGATAGGAAATTACGTTTACGTCGTCGATAAAATGAATAGAGCAAATGACCAGCATAAAATAATTTCCCAAGGGGCAATGATGCATTTCATTCGCGACTGGTATGCTGTTCGTGCGCGGGAATGAAGCTCCTCTTTTATTTCCCTATTTTCTTTATTCACGTCACGTATACTGCTGCTGTTTCCTAAGAAACCCGTGGAATCGTCTGAAAAATTGATATTTCTTCAATATAAATAACATCTTAAAAAAAATAGTGTCTTAAAGAATGCTTTAGGTACTTTATACAAAAACGAAATACTAAGATAAAATTCTGAAAATATTTCAATATAAATAGAAAAGATGAACAGATCAAATATGCACGTATGCATCTCTAAATGTAAATTTTGAAGATTTCAAATTAGATTTTCCCTCAAGAATCGATATACAGTTGTGTTACGGAAGTACTTTTACCATTCGTTTTACAATCTACTTTTGCGAAAGTATCTAAGTGTCTAACTCATGATCAAACAACAGATCTGGCAATGACCTTTGATGAATAAACATATTTTTCGAATAATAACATCGTAATTCAAATAAAAACTTTCAAAATAAATCATGAAAAGTTTTCTTTTTTACGAAATTAATTTCATGTTTTTTTTTTATTAAATTAATTTCTGATAATGAGATTGAGTTCACGCTTGATATTGATTTTTTAATAAGCACGGAGTGAAATCTTTTGATTATGAGCGAAATCAATCTAGATGTTCCTACGGATTTGAGCGTAGCTCACCTGTTTAATATTCAATGAGATTTCGAGGACGTCCTGGCTTGCGAACGGGGACCGACTTAATGTTTCTACACGCCTACTTAGATAGGGACATGTAAGAATTTTTTATATTTCCGTATTTAAGCGTTCACAACGCGTTCTTGTCTGTAATATAACTAAGCTATCGATCCTTGCGTCTAGCTCAGACAGATTGAAGGTACACACGTACACGTTTACTTGCGCGCGTACCAGTTTATCAATCGATCTGTCACTTTTCCTATGTCCTCGCAATTCTATCGAACTGTAATTTCAATCACACTGCCGTACGTGGAAAGCTGCGAAGATAGCAGGTCGATTGTCGTTGAACAAAGATTACATTTCTAGAGAATGGTAGGAGCAATTAATGGAATGTCGCATTCAGTGGAATAAAGGAATTATTTAAAGATATTAACTGTTCAAATATGCAAATAGAATCTACGGAATATTTTAATTGTAATGTTAACTTGACGAGTTAAGAAATGATCATTTGTTCAGCGATAATTGTAGCAAGTCTTGTAATAATAATTAGTAATGTGTTATTTGTTATACTGCCATCTGGCTGGACGCTAGAATCTAATGAATGAATGAAATCAAATTCTGTGCTCAAGAACAATAACTAAGGTACTTACGGATAGGCATTAATCCCTAAGGATATTGCGTTTAGGACGACTATCCCTGTTCTTTCATATTGATACTCGAATAGTCTACGAGAAAAATGCGTAAACAAAGCATAACTGTGAATTAGCATAACTGTAAATGATTATTTTCGCTGCGTATCGGGCGACCTGTGTGCGTGGCGGTTAATATTATGAGCATGTCATATCTATGTTGCCATATTATAAATATTCTTTACATATCCTTATGCGGATATAGATTATATAATTTAAAATCTAATATAAAGATAGAATAAAATATATGTTAAATTTAACTTGTATTTTTTTTATACTAGATAAATTTTCTTTGCGAATATGATGTGAAAACTGCGCCGAACTGACGCGAAACCTTGTCACGCACGATGCAGAGGAATGAAATGATTCCAAAGCGATTTAAAAAGTGTCTCTTCTTCTGTTTCCTGTAACATATCATACAGTGTAAGGGATTTTGTCGGCCGTCTCTTCACTTACGAGCAATCGTACGTACATTAGCTCGATATTAAAAGCGCCGAGTGAATCGCTGAGAAGGCTGTAGGGCCTCGCCGTGCAGCTTGCAGGCGAGAGAATTTCGTACGGTGTCTAATGACAATCGATACTGGCTTGAGCAGTTGCTAGAGTTATCGTTATCACTCCGTCGGTGATTCGATGGAGGGTCGTGGCCGGCAGCCAAGACAAACTTTACTTTGGTGCTCGTACCAGGCCATCCAGCCATCGATCCAACCCGCCCGTACAAACTTCCTCACACTCGAGTTCGAGTCGGGCGCTTGCTCCAAGCTGGCGCTACGGCGATTTGTTGCGAGAATCTATTTACAACTTTCCATATACGTCCCCGTGTACGCGAGGAAACGTGCAATAACCGTCGGCGTGTCACGATTGCGAATGCCGAAAGAAATGCTTAAAAGTTGGCTGCCGCATTTCTTGGTTAAAGATAGGGTAAAAAAAGAAGAGAATGATATCATGCGATTGATATTTTGCGTAACGCTCTGATTAAAGTTGTATTAATCGATATTCTTGTATGGTACTTAGGACTTACAGTTTTCTTTTAGTCGTGCTATTTTAGATCACTTTTAATTCTTTCGAAGTTTCTTCTCGAGATAATAGACTCATTTACGAGGTGAACTTGTGAAGCGAATTAAAGTTTAACGTAACTTTTCACTGCGGATATTGAATTCGTTAAATGTAAGCGAATTTGGCTACATCAAGGAAACATATATATCGTATCGTATCATCATTTTACTATTCGAAATGAAAATTAAAAAAAAACATGCGCAATCTTGCATCTTTTAAAATGTTTCAATTGATACTAATTAATTATCTAGTTTTCAGTACAATCTTGATAATACATAATATTCTATATTATTTTATGGAATTATTATATTATTTTCAATAAGAATAAGAATAAGAATGGAAGTATGACTCTATTATTTCTATTCTTTTATTTTTTCATTATTATTTCTTTTTGATTTATAGTTTTCTAACAGATTATGAAATGAGAATGCATTATCTCACAAGCACTGAGGAAAGAAAGCATCTTTATTTACCTTGATTAGCATAATTACCTCATTAGAAAATATATAGCAGATTGTGGTTAGTAATTTTTTACGTCCATATATAATGCTGTCTATGAGTCTAGAACGAGGTCCCAGCGCGGCAAAAGTCCAGACCGGCTTCTCTCCTTTCACAGGATTTTCTTTCCTATGTAGCTCCTCATCTTTCGCCCTTACGTTCGGGTTTCCTCTGTCGTACTCCAGGGAAATATAACCGAGTTCAAAGCTCTCGATGGTCGACACGAAACTTTAGCGCGACAATTTTGCGAGAAATATCCAATGAAAGTCAAACTCTACGGGATTCAGCCTCATTGGTGCGTTTCAACCTTGGGAGAAAAAAGAGCGAAGGAAAGCAAAACTAGCCCGACCTTCCAACAACCGACTTAATGGAATTAATGGTTTTCTGCTGTCGCCTTACGTATTCATTCTGCGCGCGAATCAGCCTGTGAGCCCGTCGAGTTTTCG